CCGCGCCTATAGTTCCAGCTACTTGGAAGGCTGAGGCGGAAGGACGCCAGAGCCCAGCAGGTCGAGGCTGCGGTGGCCGGGAGCGGCCACTGCACTCCAGTCTGGGCGACAGAGTGAGACTCCAACTCAAAAAAAAAAGAAAAGATATACTGAAGCTGGGCATGGTGCCTCACACCTATAATCCCAGCATTTTGAGAGGCCAAGGCGAGAGGATTGCCTGAGCCCAGGAGTTGGAGACCAGCCTGGGCAACTTGGCAAGACCTCATCTCTACCATACGTAACAAAATTAACTGGGCATGGTAGCGCGTGCCTATAGTTCCAGCTACTTGGAAGGCTGATATGGAAGGATCGCCTGAGCCTAGCAGGTTGAGGCTGAAGTGGCTGTGAGTGTGCCACTGCACAGAGTGGGTAATAGAGTGAGGCTCCAACTAAAAAAAAAAAAGAATTGGACTTTGGTTTTTGGAAGGAAGACTACTACAGAGATGAATTGTCATTCTTTCATATCCTTTGACCTCTTAAATTATTGTCTTTAAAATTTCCGTATGTTGAGGTTCATTCTTTGTGCTGTGAAGTTCTTGGTATTGTCAGTTTTTTGGTGTTTTTTGAAAGCTGTTCTAATAGATGAATAGAGAAATTTTGTTGTGATTTTAATTTGTTTCCCAGATGACTAATGACCTTAATTAATCACTTAAGTGTTTATTGTATATACCTATCATCCTTAGTGAAATGTGTTAAGTGTTGTGCCCATTTTGTATTGAACTGTTTTGATTTCTTTTCACTGAATTGTGCATCTTTCTTTATGCTGGAGATGCCTGTCTTCTTAAAATTATTACTTCCTTTTCTTGGCACCAGTGTCACCTGCCAGTCTCTCTCTCTCTTTTTTTTTTGAGTTGGAGTCTTACTCGATTGCCCAGGCTGGAATGCCATAGCACACTCATGGCCACTGCAGCCTAGATCTGCTGGGCTCAAGTGATCCTTCCATCTCAGCCTTCCAATTAGCGGGAACTACAGGCATGCACCACCATGCCTGGCTTACTTTTTGATTTATTGTAGAGATGAGGTCTCACCATGTTGCCCAGGCTGGTCTCGAACCCATGGGCTCAGACAATCCTTTTGCCTCCGCCTTCCAAAGTGTTGGGATTACAGGCGTGAGCCACCACGCCTGACCCCAGCCCCTTTTTATATAGCCTTTCTTCTTCCCTTTTGCTGAAGTCCTTCTCCACAATGGAGTAATGACTGCACCCTACAGTTGTACCTTTATGTGTCCTCAGAAAGGACTCCCCTGCCAGATCCTTGTGCTCTGATTAGTAGTCTCGTGGCCACTCTTGGGGACAAGCAGTTTTCTCTGGGTTGAGGGATCTTTTTACTAGAGGAAGAGAAGAGCAAAGCAGAAACAGTAGACTTTCCATTTCCCAGCTGTGTGACCTTTGAAAAGTTACTTAGTTTCTGCATTGTAAAATGGGGATAATAATTATACTGACATCAGATGTCCCCAACCCCCAGACTAGTGTGGCCTGTTAGGAACCAGGCCACACAGTAGGAGGTGAGCAGGAGGAGAGTGAGTGAAACCTCATCTGTATTTTTATCCTCCCCCCTCATTGTTCTCACATTACCACCTGAGCTGGGTCTCCTGTCAGATAAGCAGTGGCAGTAGATTCTCATAGGAGCACGAACCCTATTGTGAACTGTGCATGCAAGGAATCTAGAAATAAATAAATCCAGTAATGTGCTTGAAGCATCCTGAAGCCATCCCCCACACACCTGCTGCCAGTCTGTGGAAAAATTGTCTTCCATGAAACGGGTGCCTGATGCAGAAAAGGGGGAAAGGTTGGGGACCACTGACCTACATCATACATTGTCACTCGTATGAGTAAGTGAAAGACTGCAAGGGCTTAGTGCAGTGCCTGGCCATTGTTTGATTTCAGCTAATGTTTGTGGGTATTACCATCATCATCATTGTCACTGATCAGGTCTGACTGGCTGAGCAGAGAGGAGAATGAAGGTTCATGGGCTTGGACTGCCCTGTGTGAGCATGAGGAATGTACTCCTTAGGCTTTACCTCTCAGTTCAGGGTACCTTCCTCCAGGAAGCCTTCCCCAGTTCTCTTGCAGATATATGCCCTTCTTCTCCACTATGCTCTACATTGAAATCTTGTAGAAGTCGTGTTTTATTCAAATTTGTATGCTGCAATGTTTTATACATAGTAGATGGTCAAGAAAGATTTCTTGTTGAATAAAGAAAGCATGGCTTATTTAGGAGACAGTGAGTTTGCAGTTTTTGGAGCATGGTAGGTGATTAGGTAGGACCAAGTTGAATCCTGGACTCTAGAATTTAAGCTTTAATTTTGTAGGCAGTGGGAAGCCGTTTCCTTAGAGGCAGTGATATGATGACAGTGGTGGTAAAAACATCAGTCTTACTGAACTTGGAGAACCTTGGAAACTGAGATGACTGTGCCTGGGATGCCACCTACATTTTTCATAGTTTTAACGGATAATAGAAAAGACATAACTAACCCTTTGCATTCAGATGTCCCCTCTGAGGGGATATTGTAAATCTGGCAAACCACTCAGATGTCCCCTCTCAGGAGACATAAAAGAGATTGCTGGTGGCCAGGCATGGTGGCTCATGCCTGTAATCCCAGCACTTTGGGAGGCAGAGGTGAGAGGATTGCCTGAGCCCAGGGGTTCAAGACCAGCCTGGGCAACATGGTGAGACCTCGCCTCTATAATAAATAAAAAAATTAGCCACTTGTGGTGGTGTGGGCCTGTAGTTCCAGCTACTTGGAAGGCTGAGGTGGAAGGATCACTTGAGTCCAGCAGGTCGAGGTTGTGGTGGTCATGAGTATGCCACTGCACTCCAGCCTGGGTGACAAAGTGAGACTCCAACTCAAAAAAAAAACAAAAACAAAGAGAGAGATTGCTGGTGATTGTACAGCACAAAATTATGCCAGTGCAAATTTTTCAAAAATATATATCTCCTTAAAGTTTTCCATTCAAATTGCATGAAAAAGCAAATAAGAGATGGAATATATACTGAGATATTTGTAAAAAAAAATCAGCTGGCATTATTTAGAACGAGACTGTGTGAAATACTTTCACAGTGGTGCAGACTGGACAATAAATAACATATTATTAATGTGGGAGGAAGAAAATGAGACTGCATTGTCTACTCGAATAGAAAAACACCAGGTAGAAGATGTCAAACAAATTACTATTGCACAACATGTATCAACAAACCTGCAAAGCATGTCGGTGACTGTTTCACACATTACCATATGTTAGAAAAATATGAGATATGCGGCCGGGCTCGATGGCTCAGCCTGTAATCCCAGCGCTTTGGGAGGCCGAGGTCAGTGGATTGCCTGAGCCTGCGGGTTCGAGACTCTCCTGGGCAACTTGGCGAGACCTTGTCACTACAATAAATCAAAAATTAGCCAGGCATGGTAGTGCGCGCCTGTAGTTTTGGAAGGATCACCAGAGCCCAGCAAGTCATGGCTGCGGTGGGCAGGAGCATGCCACTGCACTCCAGTCTGGGTGACAGAGTGAGACTCCAACTCAAAAAGAAAAAAGAAAAATATGAGATACAAAATTTTGATTTTTTTCGGCTGGGCATGGTGGCTCACGCCTATAATCCCAGCACTTTGGGAGACCAAGGTGAGAGGATTGTGAGCACCTCATCTCTACAATAAATCAAATAAAAAAATTAGCCAGGCATGGTGGCACATGCCAGTAGTTCCAGCTACTTGGAAGGCTGAGGTGGAAGGATTGCCTGAGCCCAGCAGGTCGAAGCTGTGGTGGCTGGGAGCATGCCACTGCACTCCAACCTGGCGAGAGTGAGACTCCGACTCAAAAAAAAAATTTTTTTTTTGGATTTTTTGTCATAAATAAGTTCCATAATTCCATTATAAGCCAAATATCATTACAATAAAATAACTGGTTCCATCGCTATGCTATTTAATATGAAGGGATTTGTTTTTCATCATTTCATTAAAAAGTACAGTCAAGTTGCTGGTAGGTAATCCACGAGATGTTCCGAGTACAAAGGGTTAATAGATTTTCAAACAGACACCTTGCTAGATGGTTGGCAGGGTGGTTTTGTTTGGTCTTCACAGTGCTCTGGTGAGGTCTGAGGTTTTATTCTGATTTCCTTGAGTAAGTCAGGGACTAAGGCTTGGTGAGCATAGAGATCCTCATCCAAGACACACGGCCAGGGAGTGGTGGAGCTAGGATTTGAACACAGCTGGGTTTCCTGAGCCTGCTCTTCCCACCACAACCTCTTGACTACCAGAGCTGGAGGGCGAGAATCAGGATCTCTTTTCTCCAGAAGAGCTGAATGACAGGAGTCCTCTATATGTTGAAGGGAACCCGTGGGTGTGTCAGTATAAAGGTAAAATGCCTGGAGCTCTAGGTTGTTCTATCTAATTTTATAAAGGAAGGATTATACTTTTTAAAGAACCCAAGGTTTCCAGCACTGGTCTAGTTCCCAGCTGGTCTAGACCAGCTTCTGTTGGAAACCTGAAACCCACACGAAGCCCTAGCAGGCAGGTCCACAGAAGTGGCTAGGTTTGTTTTATGCTGGGCTTACAAGACCAGCATTGCAGTGTCTTCGGTGGCTGTCTCAGCGGAGACACAGGGTTTCCAAGAAGCTATGCGCAGGAGCCTCATGCTGTGAACAGTGGTGACCAGAGACCCAGTGGGTCCCCAGGACCACAGTTTCTCTTCCATGCTGCTTGTGCTAGGCCTTTTTTTCTGTGTCTTGTTCTCTGTGGGACTCACATTGTTCAGAACTACCCAGACAGGTAGTAGGAGAGTAAAAAACCGCTTGGGATCAGACAGCCTTGGGTTTTAACCCTGGCTCTGCTGCCTATCAGCTGTGACCTTGCATACATCATTTTCTCTCTCTGAGCCTTGTTTTCTTATCTGAGTCCTTTAGCTCAGGGTCTCTCAGCTGTCAGCCAAGGCTGTGGCCATCTCAAAGGTCAACTGGGGGAGGATCTGCTTCCAACTGCACTCAGATGTCTGGCTGCTGGCAGGATCCTTGCAGTCTGTTGGGGCCTCAGTTCTTCACTGGGTGTTGACTGAAGGCCCCCTCTATTCCTTGCCACACGAGGCTTTCCGGAGCAGCTCAGAGTGGTGGCTGGTCTCATCAGAGTGGCGATTCCAAAAGAAGAGGGCGGGGGTGGGGGAGGAGTGATGGTCTTTTGTAACCTGAAGTGTCACTTTGGCTGTGTTCTGTTTGTCAGAGGGAGATCACTAGGCCCAGCCTATTCCTGCTGGGATGGGATTACATAAGGGCATGTGCACCAGGAGGTGCAGGCTATTGGGACCACATCAGAATCTGCCCGCCACAGCCTCTACCGGGCACAGGGACTCCACTGGCCCTTACGCTTCCTCCATCACTCCCTTAGGGTACCACATTTCCACGTCTGATTCTCACCTAAATGCGGTTTGGGTACGGGCCCAGCAGTGAGTGGTGATCCCCACCCACACCTGCTGTTCACGTCAGAGCCTGTGGCAGCCAGCTCTGTCAAGGTGTCTCTGTACCTCCTGGCAGCATCTCGTGGCTGAGTGTGGTGCCAGAGACAGGGCGGGTGAGGCCTTCTGTCCCCAGGGCCCTCACTGAGAGACAGTGCCATAAGCTTCACGAAGCTCAGATGGGTGCTTCAGGTTGTTCCTTTGTGCTCAAGGACCCAGGAAACATTAACTTGCTGCACTTGGTCAGCATCTAGACGCTTGCCCATGTGGTGACTCGGAGTGTGGCATTGTTGAGTGACTCTCTGGCCTTCCCTTCATCTGCACACGTGCCCTTTGGAGTTCTTAAACCCCTCAGCCAGGCCTGACCTCCTCCAGCCCTCACCTCACAGTGCACCATGCCTGAGGGCCGTCTTCCCTGGCTCCAGTTGACACTGTGACTCCAGGGCAGTCATTTCAGTTTGCTGCTTTCTTCAACTTGCTCCTCCACCTCAGAGACAGCGGGCTTTGTTTTCTCAGCTGGTTAAAATCCAGACCGCTCAGTCAGGCTTCATCTGAGCCTGCCTCTCATCTTTCCTGTCCTTTCGGTTTTTACCTCACAGGAGTCCCTTGTGCTGTCCAGGCCGTCTGTGCTCTCAGTGTCCCTTGCTCCTCAGACTGCCCGCCTGCCCCTCTCCCACCAGTCCTTTCCTGTCCTTGTGGCTCTACTCCTGGCTGTGACCCTGCCAAGGCTAGCCCAGCATGTGTTTTAGGGATGCTCCATGAAACGCTCATCTCTTAGAGTTGCTCATGTGAAGACTTGTCATTTTCATGTGTGTTGTAAGCTCTTTAAGGATGGATGGCAGGTTCTAATGAGCAAAGTATGTGATACTCAGTGAAGAAACCTGGACTTGGGTCCTCGCACCACCCTGCCTGAGTGGGAACCCTAGTCAGGCACAGCGCCAGGGTCTTTCTTGGCTTCCCGTAGAGTTGAGGTGGGGTCAGATGAAGTGATGTGCCTGTGTGTTGCTAATATTTCTGTTCATCTCTGCAGACACTGTTATGTGCTTGTATGTGTATGTGTATATGTGTGAGTGTAGCGTGTGTATACATCTTTTTTTTTTTTTTTTTGAGTTGGAGTCTCTGTCACCCAGGCTGGAGTGCAGTGGCATGCTCATGGCCACCAGAGCCTCGACCCGTTGGGCTCAGGCAGTTCTTCCACTTCAGCCTTCAAAGTAGCTGGAACTACAGGCATGCGCCACCATGCCCAGCTAATTTTTTGATTTATTGTAGAGACAAAGTCTCGCCATGTTGCCGGCTGGTCTCGAGCTTGTGGGCTCAGGCAATCCTTTTGCCTTCATCTCCCAAAGTGCTGGGATTACAGGCATGTGCCACCGCACCCTGCTGTATATACATCTTGATGCTGCAGAGTGAGTGTCATTATCCTTCCTTCACAACGAGGAAACAAATCCAGAGAAGCTAAAAGCATTTCCAAGGTCATACATTTGGAGAACTGGCATCTTGAACTGGGTCTTTTGATGTTCATTTCGGGCTCGGTGGCTCAGCCTGTAATCCCGGGCCTTTGGGAGGCTGAGGTGAGTGAATTGCCTGAGCCCGCGGGTTCGAGACCCGCCTGGGTAGCGAGACCTCATCTCTACAATAAATCAAAAAAAATCAGCTGGGCGTGGTGGCGCATGCCTGTAATTCCGGCTACTCGGAAGGCTGAGGCGGAAGGATTGCCGGAGCCCAGCAGGTCGAGGCTGCGGTGGCCGGGAGCGGCCACTGCACTCCAGTCTGGGCGACAGAGTGAGACTCCAACTCAAAAAAAAAAAAAAAAAAAAAAGAAGAGATACGGGGAGCCCTCAGACACATGAACCTGGCTCAGCCTCACTCATCATCAAAGAAATGCATTATGAGTCCACTTTGAAATACACATACCCCTGTAAGACTGGCCATCATTAACAAAAGAAACAATAACAGAGGCTGGTAATGATTTGGAAAAAAATAAATGCTTCTACATTGCATGTGGACTGAAAAGTACAGCAACATTTTTGGAAAAGAGCATGGTGGTTGCTAAAATGACAAGATATTGACCTACCATGTTACTCAGTAATTCCCCTGTAGAGAATATACTTGGAGGAACTCAAATCATCTTACAGAAAATATACCTGCACACCTATGTTTCTTGCAGTTCACATCACAATTGCAAAAAACATGGTACCAAACTTGTTGACCATCAAACAGGAATGGATAAAATAAATGTGGTATATACACAGTGGAGTATTATTCAGCCATAAAAAAAGATACATAAAAAAGGATTTTTCAGGATGTTTAATGGATACGAGGTAAGTTATATTCAGTGGTTTTTCACAAAATCAAAGAACAGAGTTCCATATGTTCTCATTCATGGGTTGAACTTGATCATTTATAGTGCTAGAAGAAAGTGATCGTCTGTTGTGAAACTGTTTAGGGGAGGAGTGAGATTG